GGTGTAGAACCCTGGCGAAGCTGGGGGCAGTCGGCCTTCCGGTGGCCGGTCTGGTTGCAATGAAAGCAAACCATAAATCCATTGGGGAAATCCTTAGCAATGTGCCCCTCCTTGCCACACTTGTAGCAAGCACCCGATCGACATGCCCCCTCATGACCCTTGCCGCACTTTCCGCAAGTGCAGCCCTTATGACCTCCCAATCTCGAATTGACGGACTTGGTCCGCTTGGCTGCCGGCTGAGACTGAGCTGGCCGCCGATCCGCTCATTGAGACTCGGCCTCCTCCCTGGCCTGGGTCTCCAACTCGATCTCACGCTTCCTGGCATTTGCCTGAAGCTCAACAAAAGTCTGGTATGACGAGTTCGATACGAACTCCCGGATATCCCTCCTCAGCACACCCAAATACCGGCTCATCCGAGCCTGCTCCGTGGACACCTGCTCAGGGCAAAACATCGCCCTCTCATGAAACTTCCGCATGATCACCGTGACAGAATCATTACCCTGCTTGACGGTTAAGAACTCCTGAACTAACCGTTCCCTCTCCACTGGGGGAACGTACTCGTCTCTGAACATAGTAGTAAACCTCTCCCAAGTCACAGCTGAAACCTCTGCCAGAGTGAAGTTCGCCGTCACGAACTTCCACCAATCCTTTGCTCCCAGACGGAGCTGGTTCAAAGCGAACCGTACCCTCAGATGCTCCGGACATGAACAAGTGTAGAAGCATCCCTCAATATCAGCAATCCATCTCATCGCAGCGATCGGATCCTGCATCCCGTCAAACTCGGGTGGCTTCGTGTTGCTGAACTCCCGGAATAGCAACGAGTCACCTCCCCGTGGTCACCGGCCACAACGACGGTAGCTGCAGCGGCTGCAGCCTCAGTCAACGCGGCGTACCGCTCATCAAAAGTCTCCATCAGTGTGGTCTTAATAGACCCAAACATCTCCGGAATCTCAGCCCTGATCGCTACAACCACCTCCTGATGAATCATCTGACGAAGCTCCTCGTCACTCACACTGCTCGTACCAGGTCTGTGGCGTGGTCCAACCATGATGCCTCTGAAATACAACATAGAAATATCAGAGACTCTATCGAGCATAATTGCACTCGATAACTCAACCCTACTCAGTCTCTGATACCCAGGGATTCTTACTTGGGTTGCCCACTGACCCGGTATCTTCAGTAGTACGGGCCCAATACTACCAACTACACCGCATCAGCATTCACCCCAAGTCCTCCTCCCCAAACCCCGGATCATGAGTACTCTATTCTTGCCATGCGCTAGCTACCCACTCACTCTCAAAGCACCTCATAGAAGCAGATTTCCCTAGACTAAGGCATCACAAATCAGGCCACTCTAGTCCTAATATGAATACCTACTCTACCAGCATGCGTATCATATCATATCATATCTCATAACACATATTGTAAGAGTATTTTGGGGATTTTACCGTTCGGGCGCTGGCTGACCGTACACACTTCTTCTTCCTTGATTGTTTCAAAATATCTTATCAAATTTTTATTGATTTTATTAATTAAAAATTTCTCAAATCCCCGGTTTGAGTTCAGTTACGCCCGAAAGGTGTATCTGAATCCCTCAAACCAAGGCTCTAATACCAACTTGTAACGACGTAAATTTTAAAACCAATTTTTCATTTTTGTTAACATCAAAAAGATCGATTAATATATCAAATTGAAACGTAAACAATATTGTCACAACCAAATACATCCCAAAGATCATAAATTAGTTTTCTCCCGACAATGTGTACTATCACGCCGGCGCCTTCCCACAGTCCTTGCTAGTACCTGAAACACATAACACAACAACTGTAAGCATAAATGCTTAGTGAGTTCCCCAAAATACAACCTACGCACATACGCCTTTCCAGGCCCTGACCTTCCGGTCCCTGTGTCTCAGGGGACTTCCGTCCTGACTAGGTAGACCTTCCGGTCCTACCCACGTAAACCTTACGGTCCACATCACAACGCCTTTCGGCCCATAACATATTCGCCTTCCGACCCATAACATAATGCCTTCCAGCCCATATCAAGCATATCATACATGGCACATATAACGAATTACTTATCACACATAATACATATCTCTCATATCATATTCGACCTTCCGGTCACACAGTCAAACCCTTCCGGGTACAGTATAGTGAGAAAACTCACCTTGTGGAAAGTTTAAGATCTCGCGTCCTCGCTATCACCAAATACAAACGACAGCTCTACCTCGCCTAAACATAAAAACATCATTTAATACTCAAAGACTTCCACTCCTAAACTTTACCCCTTATCATCATTCCTCAGAGGGTAAGAGACCATTTTACCCTTCCTTGACCTAAAGTCCTCATGTTGACCAAAACCCTAAAAGTCAACAAAAGTCAACCCAAAGAGTACGCGGGGCGTACTGCTAGATGTACGCGGGGCGTACATCACCAACCCCCCTGGATCGGGGTCTCCACCCAGTACGCTGCGCGTACTGGAAGTTACACCCAACGTAACCACCAGAATCAGCCACTCTCCATTTCTGGTCTTAATCAGTTAATCCATTACTACAACTTCTAGATCCGGCTCTTTTAGGGTGTCCAAACCCATAAAGTCGAGACCTTTAAGCCTTGGCATGGCTGTAAAGGCTCCAACATCACATAACAACATTCTATTCCAACTCAAGGACCTAGATCTCATGCATGGTGCAATACCCACGTCCAAGATGCCATTTTTATGAGTCCACAACTCCAATAGATCAGAAACATGAAGTATCTAAGCTTATGGAGGCTATTTGCACAAAACGTCTCCACCTTTGGGACTTAAACCCTACAAAATGACATCTTAAGCATATAACATGAACCAAGTGACAAGATCCGAACTTTTTACCTGAAAGTGAAGCTTTAACCCTTGCAAAGCTCAGATCTACACTTGAGCACCACTTCTAGCCTCTCCAACAAGCTCTTCTTCACCTTTGCAACCTTGGAATGGCACCACCAAGCTTAGAATACACACACAATGGCCAAAGAATGAAGGTACACTCTTTTTAAGGTTTCACTCTGAGGGATGGTGGCTGAGAAGTCCAGCCACACATTCCTTTTATAGCCCTTCCAAAGGAAATTAGGGTTTGGATCTGAATAAGTTACACCGGGCGTAACCTTCGGTACGCCCCGCGTACCTGATGGTGAACGCGTCCAAATGAGGTGCGCGAGTACGCGCATCGTACACCTTGTACGCCCAGCGTACTCGCCTACCTTGAAAACCCTAAATCATCAACTTAACCAAGATGCAAGGCTAAAAGAAGAATAACTGGATTTTGGGCTGTTACAAAAGTACTTAGTCTAACTCTTCGTTTATGTGAATGTATCACAAAATAAAGTAAATAGGAAAATGTACTAATGTAAGTGTTATCCTTTGGTACTAGGACTAACACGACATCGCAGTAAGTGAAATGTATAACCTAATGAACATCTGAAGATTGTCCAGTTGTCCTCTGCAGCAGCAGCAACAGGGAGTAGGAAGGGTTAGTCCCGTAATCGATTTCCTAATATAAGTATTAACCGTAGACATCCGTAGATGGTCATCAACCTCTGTAGCGAATAGTAGGCTCGAGGAATGGTTAGTCCCATAAAAGTATGCTAATATAAGAATCAACCGTAGGCATCTGTAAATGTTCATCAACCACTGGTACTAATCAGCTGGGATTCGGAATGGTTAGTCCCGTCTAGATATCCCGTTGAACTTGGATAGGCAGGACACTTCACATAGAAGGTACTAATAAATCATCCTAGTGAATCGAGGTACAAGTATCCATGTAAATGTATATAGTAAGATGTATCTACGTAAAGGTACTCATGTAATGTATTCATGTAAGGTACTCATGTAGTGTGTTCATGTAATGTAATCATGTAAGGCACTCATGTAATGTAATCATGTAAGGTACTCATGTAATGTGTTCATGTAGACTCATGAATGAACTGACTCTGATGTAATTCCTTGTAATAGGAATAATGTTATGTATCTCCAAACTATCCCTATAATAGTTAACTGGAAGGTAATTGATTGTTCAAACAGGCTTATACACACAGTTCACTACTATAAAAAAGACCTTTAATGACGCGCTTTTTACAACACGCGATAATTAATGATATGCAAAAGGACGTGCCCTTAAAATAGTGTTATCTCTCCAAAAAATTTAAGTATTTACGTCACGCTTTATTGCGTGCCCTTAATTTAGTGTCTCAAGAAAAAAAATTAAAAACACGGAGGGCGCTTTATCTTAAACACGCGTCGTCTGTACCTGTCGCTTTATAATTTTAATGTAACGCGCTTTTAGTAGACAAGGGGGGAAATGAAATCCCAAAATTTTGAAAACCCGCCTTTTTTTTTCTATCTTCTATCTATCTTTCATCTTCAACCTAACAAGGACGAGTATTGCACTCTTGATTTCCCTAACTGTTTGCGTGCCCTTCCTTTCCCTCTTGTCTCTCTCGGTCGCTACCTAGGGTTTTTATTGAAAGCTTGAATCGATCGACTGAGGTAACCAATGGTCAAGCAAACCGGGAAAGGGTTTTCAGTGAAATATACTGTTACTCTTTGAAATCGGTTCTAATCCTACCTTCGCCCCATCCTTTTTGTCTCTATCAGTTGCTACCTAGGGTTTTTCGTGAAAGCTTGAATCCATCGACTAGGGTAACTAAAGGGTAGGCGAACCGGGAAATGGAAGCAATAAATCCAACATTCACTCTCAAATCGATTCTACTGTACAAGGTTTCAATTTGGGGCTCTCTACATTCTTATCGATTCTACTTTCATTCAAGCTTACATCGGTTTTTTTGGTATACAGTAACCGAAGGTTACATTCTCATCGATTCCACTTTCTCTCTCTGAAGAAAATATCTCATATTTTCAAAAAGCCCTAAACCAGCCACCGCCGGCTATCACTTCCACCATCGTTCACGTCGTCCTACTTCCCAGATGGTGTGTGTGTGCGCGGCAAGACTGAACAGAAAATGGGAAAGAAAAGAAAACATGAGGTGAAAGATAGAGAAGAGATTTTAAGGCCGAGGGGAGGATGCATCGGAGCTGTGGTACTATTCTTAAGGTCTTTTCAAAATACAGTAACCTTATTATGGGCTTGAAGAAAAAGATGATCGTTTTCTTTGTTTTGCAGTTCTAGATGGTATGGGTTCACCCTGATATGGTTTAGAGAAGTGTACGTCATCTATGAAGATCACAATCATCCATACCTTATTTTTAATTTCGCTCTCTCTCTCTCTCTCTCTCTCTCTCTAAACATTTCCTTTCTTCTTTCTTTCTAAAACCCTAGCCTATCATCATTGCAGAGGAATTTTCGTGTTGCTTTCCACCATTTGTGCTGGACAAGACCAGTTTTCACTAGACCAAGCTTTGAATTGGAAAAAATATAGTTGTGGTTAAACTTGGTTGTTGGTTCCATTGAAAATATTAAGTCGGAGGTTGTCCTAAAAGTTGAAGGTATTGTTGTTGAACTTATGAAAGGGGGGCCTAAAAGTTGAAGGTATTGGAGTTTTCATAGATATTCATGAATCAAATTCTTCATTTGTTTCTTTTTCTCCCTTTTGAAACTTAAATTCACAAAATTGCAGGATTAGTGGTAAGATTTTGCAATTGGAGAGTGTCACACAGTCAGAAGCCATGAGGAGGCGGTATCGCTACTTGAGCCATTTTTCTTTAACAACCACGTTTCAGGTATGCTTCAAAGCTTGCTTAAATAAACAAAGGAAGCTATGGACCATATTCTTCAGCAGCCCCTGCTGGTTATAACCCTGGTTCAGCTGCCAATTCCACCTCTAATGAAGACCTTGGTGGGTCCCACTCCTAGTTTAAGGAAACTAATGTTTACATCACTGGCCAGCAGGTTCGTTTCATTTTTTCTACTTCACATTTTTAATTTTTAATTTTGTTTTGAGTGCTTGAATCACCCATTATACGGATATATTTTCACAGATAGAATGAAGATGTTAGCCATACTTGTATCAAACTATTATGCACATTTTCTATTTTTTTTTAAATATTAAGTATCTCTGGGTTATATGAGAAGGAACGGGACATCCTTATTAAGAAACACATGTTTTCTATTCTACTTCTAATAGTCATTTGTCTACAGAAGCTTAGTTATGTTGGGATTTATTTAATCTTGACAGGTTTATTTAATTAGTATGTTAGTCTTTGTTATTTAGTAAAGTAAATACTTTGGGTCTTCAATTGAATGGGTCATGTGGACCAAGTATTAGGAGCTGGAAAAGGGGAAAAACGTGGGCTTGTTCTCCTTTAGTTGATTTTAGTTTGTTTAGGGTTCATTAGGGTATGTAGGCTATAAAAGCCTTTTATTTTCTGAATAATATGTGCAGCCGTTTGAGTCACAATTACTTCTTCTTCTTCATCATATTCCTCACGTAACAAAAGAAGGTTGAATCTTTGTTTTGCAGTTGACAAAAGAGGGCCTGATTTCCAACAAGTTATACATAAATGAGTAATTTGTAAATGAGTTTACTCAATTATAACACTTGTTGTTATCTAATTGCAGGTTTCTATTGTAATAGTAAGCGAATATTTTATCACAAGTTGGAGATGCTTAAAAACTTTCAGGTACCACTACTACTACTACAATTCATTATTAAAACCTCGCATTTTAATCTGTTTTATTTCATATTTTTTATTTGATTTTGATTGCAAGGAACTCGGAGTTTTGTAATCAATTTTATCGGGCTTATTTTGTGCTGATTGTGCAAGAAATATTTGATGTGATGACCGACAGTTTCCATAAACTGGGATTTAACCTGCATATGTTGGTGTTGCAGCACTTATTCTGCCTGGTATGTATATCATCTCTAGTCTACTTTTTATTTGAATCATATGCAAGTATATAGGAGTATAATATATGTTGATGTGGCAAATAATTGTAGGTGGAATCTAGGTCATTAACTGAGCCTTTGTGGGACACATCAACTGTTTCATATCCGTATCCAAACAACGGGATGTTTGTGAGAGACAGAGAGAGTACACTATTAAGCTTCTTGGTGCCTCTTTTCCAAATATTCCAACATCTGAGGTATAAAAGCTACAACTGCAAGTGATGTTTGTTTATTTATGTTATATTTAGACATCTGATGGATGGATGTAATGTAATTCTTTCAGGTTGCGAAATTTGTGAATGGACTGTGTGCAAACGTGAACCTAATCACTTGACCATTCAGTTATTTCTCAATCTTACTCTGCATCATTCTCTTCCTATGAAAACCCTGAAATGCCTTCAAAGAAACTTCTATCTTCATTAATGCACAAGCCTTCAATATTAACCGATGATGTAGATGCTGCATCAAAGCAAGATGTATCAGGTCAGCAAGTTTATATTAGTGTTTTTCTACATACAATCATACTTGCCTGCACTTGCACCAAGGATCTACTTTAAACTCAAGCAAAACAAGAACAAGAAAGGAAAGAAAAAACCGGAACAGAGGATAATTACTTGGTGCCAAAGTCTCTTCCTTAATAAGCAAAACAAAGAAGATTCTGAATACAAATAAAGATGCAACACAGACCTATATTTATACTAGACACATAATGAGTTTGACTCTAACACAAAAACTAGGAAGAAACTTAATTTCCTATTTTACCCCTAGAACTAAAAAGCTGTTATTTTTTTATTCATGAGTTGGCATCATGGATATTATATACAATCAGGGCTGGTCCGTTGATTTAGATAGGTAAAATGTTTTTTTTTATTTTTATTTTTATTATTTTCTTAATTGATGATTTTGAATTGTTTTTTTTTTTTCATGAATTTGGTAGGTTAGATAGCCTAGTTGGGTTGTTTGGAGCAGGATGTCAACCAAGTTCAACTAATGACCCTTTTGGCCTACCAAGAATCTCATATGGTCTTGTTAGTCAACTGACAATTTAAATTAGTCAACTCTTATCTGTTGTCTTTTGATTGATTATAATTTATAGTTGTTGATGGGTGTTTTTTTAGGTCCAAGTGTTGGTAGAAAAAGATAGAAACTTGGACTTACAACATGCTTTGGAAGTTGATGCTTCTGTGAAATCTTTGAAAATAGATGTTGTAACAATATGCGAGGTAGACTTATTCTTGTTTCTTGTCATTTGTATTGCATTTGATGATAAGGATTAGGAGGGCCTTTATGTCTTTTTTATAAATCTTTTTATAAAAAAAGATTTATAAATCTTTTTTTATAAATCTTGTTTCTTGTCATTTGCTGCCAAGGTATATATTATTCTTATATAAAATGAAATTGTAAATTTTTATATTCTTTTTTATAAATCTTTTTATATTTTATAAAAAAAAAATTAGGTTGTGGGAAAGGTCTTGCCAGAGCTAAATGGAAAGCTTACTGGAATGGATTTTAGGGTTCATGGTTTGATGGGTTTAACCAACCAAAGATTCTTACGTTATGTTCCACAATTGCCCCTGATACAGGCACAATGCTCTCAACTAGTCGGCCATCAAATCTTCTGAATACATCAACTGGTATTACATGACTTAATGTTTTAATTTGGAACTTGATTGCTTACTGATAGTTGTTTGTCCCTTTTTCTGGATCAGGTTTAATTTGGATTTCAAGCTCACCAGCATCTCCAAGTAATGAGGGATCCGTTACACTTAAGAATATCAGCTTATCAAGAGCATCACTTGCATTACTAAAAGAAGGTTTCTTGTTAGAACTTTTGTTTTTAAAAACGATAAAAGATGGAAATCAAGCATGAAACATGTAGACTGTAGAGATGTTTTTACATGTAAATTTATATATTGTAAGAAATAGAATTGTAAGACATTAAATTTTATGAAATGGATTATATTTTTTGTATATGATATTTTATTTTATATTGTGAGGCATTAAATGCAAATTTAATTTGAAAATTAGTAAATCTATAAAAAATAATTTTTTTTTAACATTTAAAATTATGATACGCAAACATGTGTGTCATCTTCATTTATGACATGGCCTTTCTTGACAGAGGCTTTCTTGATACGCATTGTGTGTCATTAACACGCGCGTCGTAAGGTTACGACACGCGAATGCGTATCGTCTTCCTTTATGACAGGGCCTTCCTTGATACGCATTGCGTGTCGTAACCGAGCGTCGTAAATACGCGTCATAAATGCGTGTCGTCTATAGACGACGCGCAAAAGCGCGTCGTCTCTCTTTATGACAGGGCCTTCCTTGACACGCATTTGCGCATCGTCTGAGCGTTTTACGACGCGCAATGAGCGTCGTAAAAGGCTTTTTTTCTAGTAGTGGTTATAAATACATATGATTGATTTAATAACATGTTGTTTTCTACCTGTATTCCCCCCCCCCCCCCATTAAAGCATTTAAAATCATTTAAAACATTGAATAAGGGGTATAAACTCACCTGTAGATGGTGGTTTGGATGTACTGAACGATATCGGATTGTTAGGTGTCAAGTGAGGACTTGTACACACACTATGATCCTAATGAACATATAATCACACATATATGCACCCAATTAGTCTTAAAATACTAATTGTAAATGTTAAGACATCCTAGAACATAATAAAAAATTTATATAAGTGTTATAAGCCTTAAGGATTGCATCTAAGTTGTTGTGGGACAAGGCTAAAGGGGTTTAGGGTTCCAAAGGACCATATATATGAGTTTACTCTTCATTAAACATCACACAAGGAGTTTACAGTCGTAAACCCTTGTGTTTATGGTCGTGAACTCCTAGACTTAGTGTCATTTTGTGTTTTGAAGTCCTAAATGATTTCTAGGAGCAATTTGACTTGGTGGTTTAATCCTTGGAAGGGTTTAGGGCATCAAAACACTCCTTTTAGGAGTTTTTGACCCAAATGCCATTTCCTTTTGAGTTTACTGCCGTAAACTCATATGGAAATGGATATTTTTGAGCTTTCAAGTCCCAAACTCATGTAGGATAAGTTCTATACATTTATCTAAGGCTAATGAAGTCCTTAGGCACACATTGGTGCCCTTCTTTCATGTTTACGGCCCAAGAGCCTTTTCTGTTAGAGATTATGGCTGTAATCTCTCTTTGGGAGGGGTTTATGATGTTTTAAGGTCCCTCAAATAACTAGGAGTAAGTCTAGGTAATTGTCCAAAGCTTTAGGAGTGTTAAAAACACTCTTTGGTCCTTGTTTTTGGAGTTCACGGTCCAAGAACTTCTTGGGCCGTGAACACCTAAACTTGGGTGTTTCTTTGATATTTTCTTGTCTTAAATACACTTACATACAAGCCTAAGGTTGTTATTTAACATATGGAAGGGACTAGGCATCATATAAGCCTTATATAAGAGTTTACTCCCCAAGATGTTCTTGGGCGGTAAACTCCCGAATCTTGCAGTTTTGCTATGTAATCGATGTTATTAAACATGTTATAAGCCATATAATACAACTAGAGAGAGGTACTCACGATTTGGGATGAACACCCGAAGATCCGTGAGAGAGAAAATGGCTTTTCTCTAGTTGGAATTGTCAATAATGAATGAATATGGCTCAAAATTCTATATATAGTCTTGAGATTTTTGGCAGAAAATATTTTATTCCCGAAATGAACTATAATGTAATAGAGTTTTGGAGTAACAGTGTTGCACAAAACCCTAGTGCATCCACTCTCCTGATATCTCCTTAAGTGTAAATCCCGAAATACTCAAACTTATACAGAAAAGTCTGAAAATTTACTATGACTGTTATAACTTCTATTGACCTGATAAAGTTCGTACATAATGGAAATTTTGGGTTGTCACATCATCCCCCCGTTAGAAGGAAATTCGTCCCGAAATTAGATTTTAAGCAAATAAGAAGTTATGAAATAATTAATCGAAAAGATGAGGGTCTTTTAGTTTCATCTGATCCTCTCGTTCCCAAGTGAATTTAGGTCCCCGCTTGGCGTTCCAGCGAACCTTCACTATGGGGATACGACTCTGCTTTGTCTACTTGACCTCTCGGTCCATGATCTCTACTGGTTCCTCCACGAAGTTGAGGCTCTCGTTGATCTCGATTTCATCGAGTGGAATAACAAGAGTCTCGTCAGAAAGACACTTTTTCAAGTTCGAGACGTGGAAGGTAGGATGTACGTTCCTGAGTTCGCGCGGTAGATTGAGTTTGTAGGCTACAGGGCCGATTCTTGCGAGAATCTCGAAAGGCCCTATGTATCTTGGATTGAGCTTCCCACGCTTTCCGAAGCGTATCAAGCCCTTCTAGGGTGAGACGTTCAGTAGGACTCGGTCGCCCACCTGGAATTCCAACGGTTTCCTTCGCTTGTCAGCGTAGCTTTTCTGTCGGTCTCTAGAGGCTTTCAATCGTTCACGAATTTGAAAGATCTTCTCTGTCATTTCCCGAATGATCTCCAGACCCGTGAGAGTGCTTTCAAGAACTCGTCCCTTAGCTAACTAGGTATCACCCACCTCAGCCCAGCACAAAGGGAATCTACACTTTCGGCCATAGAGGGCCTCGAATGGGGCTGCCTTTATGCTCGTGTGATAGCTGTTGTTGTAGGAAAATTCGACAAGGGGTAAATAGGTATCCCAAGGTTTCCCGAAGTCAATCACATAGGCTCGTAACATATCTTCTAATGTTTGGATAGTTGTGTTACTTTGTCCGTCGATCTGTGGATGGTAAGTTGTACTCATGTCCAGGCTAGTTCCTAGGGAACTTTGTAACGACTTCCAAAACCTCGAAGTGAATCTACTATCTCTGTCTGAGATAATAGATAAGGGAACACCGTGCAGTCTTACAATCTCCCTAATGTAAGTTCTTGTAAGTTTCTCCATCTTGTCTGTTTCTTTGATTGACAAGAAGTGTGCAGACTTGGTCAGTCTATCGATGATGATCCGTATGGAATTAAGTCCACCGATTGTCTTCGGCAACTTAGGAATTGAAGTCCATAGTGATCCGCTCCCACTTCCATTCTGGTATCTCCGGTTGTTGTAGAAGGCTGGAGGGTTTCTGGTATTCGACCTTGACCTTTGCGCAAGTAAGGCATTTACTCACGAAGGTAGCAGTATTTGCTTTCATGTTAGGCCACCAGTATAACTTTTTAAGATCCAGATACATCTTATCTGAACCTGGGTGGATGGAATAATGAGTGTTGTGGGCTTCGGTCATGACTAAGTCTCTGAAGCCATCGTGTTTCGGTGTCTAGATCCAATCCATGAAATATAAGGCTCCGCCACCCTTGACTTCCAAGTTCTTATCCATCCCTCTAAGGGATTCACTTGCCACGTTTTCAGGTTTCAAAGCGTCGAGCTGAGCCTCCTTAACTTGCGTGGACAAGTTTGAATGGATAGTTAGAGTCAAATATTTGACTCTACGACCAGCATATTCTTTCCGACTTAGGGCATTGGCTACTACATTGGCTTTACCCAGATGATAACGAATTTCACACTCGTAATCACTGAGTAGCTCGACCCACCGTCGTTGTCTCATGTCGAGCTCTTTCTAGTCGAAAATGTGCTATAGACTCTTGTGGTCTTTAAAGATCATGCACTTTGTACCATACAGGTAGTGTCTCCAGATCTTCAGAGCAAACACAACTGCTCCTAGCTCAAGATCATGGGTGGTGTAGTTAACCTCATGTGTCTTCAGCTGCCTCGTGGCATAGGTGATGACTTTACCTCGCTGCATCAGAACACATCCGAGTCCTTGATTTGATGCATCGCAATAAACTACGAAGTCTTCTATTCCTTCGGGAAGGGATAGTATTGGTGCGGTGCACAAGGCTCGTTTGAGCGTTTGCAACACTCTTTCTTGTTTTTCCTCCTAGTCAAAGGCCACGCCTTTCTGGGTCAGGGTGGTAAGAGGTTTTGCTATGCTGGAGAAGTTCTGAATGAACCTGCGATAGTAGCCAACGAGACCTAGAAATTGATGAATTTTTGTAGGTGTCTACGGTGCTGACCAGTTCTCAAAGGCCTTGATTTTGGAAGGGTCCACATGTGTTCCTTCTTCGCTAACAACATGGCCCAAAAATTCGACTCGTTGGATCCAAAATTCGTACTTGGAAAACTTCACATAGAGCTTCTCTGCTCGCAATGTTTCTAAGACTCTACAGAGATGTTAACTATGTTCCTCCTTACTTCGAGAGTAGATGAGTATGTCATCAATGAAGATGATGATGAACTGAACAAGTAAGGAAGACACACCATATTCATCAGATCCATGAATACTGCAGGTGCGTTAGTTAATCCGAACGGCATCACTACAAACTCGTAGTGTCCATAACGAGTTCGGAAGGCTGTCTTGGGAACATCCTCCTCTAACACTCATAGCTGGTGATATCCGGATCGTAGATCTATCTTCAAGAAGTATTTGGCTCCTTGAAGTTGATCAAATAAATCATCAATGCGGAGCAAAGGATAACGATTTTTAATTGCAAGCTTGTTGAGTTCTCTATAGTCGATGCACATACGAAACGATCCATCTTTCTTCTTGAAGAACAAGACCTGTGTCCCCCATGGTGAAAAGCTTGGCCTAATGAATCC